CTCCGCCTCCTCCTCCTCCTCCTCCTCCTCCTCCTCCTCCTCCTCCTCCTCCTCCTTCTCCTCCTCCTCCTCCTCCTCCTCCTCCTCCTCCTCCTCCTCCTCCTTTGCGACCTTTGCGAACAGGCTCCACGTCGCTCGGGCGACGAAGCCTATGCCCTCGCCTGCATTGTGCAGACGAGGACGGCACGCGGACAGCGTGCCTGCGCCCGAAGCGCCACGGGGGGACCCCCTCAACCGAAGGCCTCCGGAGGCCGAGGCCGCCAGCGGCCGGGAACGACAGGAGGCCACGAGGCCCCAGGAACGGCCCCAGGGCGCACGGGGCCGAGGAGGAAGGAAGGGGAGGACGCCTCCAGGGCTCTCAGAGGGGGGGGGACGGGCTCGGGGCGGGTGAGACAGAGAGGGAGGGGGAAGGAGGGGGCTCATCAAAGGCCTGAGGGAGGGGGGGAAGTTCTCACCCGACCCCTTCTAGGCGGCGGGCCCGCGGGCCCAGGTGTTAGAAGTCGCCGTTCTCCTCATCCCCCCACTCCTGTGGGGGGCGGACAGGGTGGAGTGCGTGTAGGGCTGGGAGCTACCGTAGACCTTGGTCGGGGCGGCGTCCCAGTCGAAGTGCTTGGGTCCATGTTACGGACCGATCCCTGCTCGACACTTTGTCGGCGATGGAGCAGTCCCGAGCCCATTCTCTCGATAACTAGGTTGAACTCGGGTATGGAGTCGATAAGGGAGTCTCCGTGTCGAGCGTTATTCGGCGGCCTAATCACACTGCAAGCGATGTTGTTGTTGTAGCAGATGTCCATTGTCTTGATCAGGGCCCTAAGCGTCTGGTTGTGTCGTTCGATAGTCGTAGCCCATCGAGGTTGTAGGTCTGGTCGTCCCCAAGGCCATCGTTGGGTCCTGCAGTGGTAGGCGGCAGTACTCTCTGGGTCGTAAGGGTCGTCCTGCCATGTGATGGTGGGCAGTTGTATGGATACCTCTGAGATGTAGCCTTGGTCAATCTGAGCCTGTGTGAAGTAGGCGATGCTGTCTGGCTGCTCGGTATACTGTTGGTCTGAGGTGAAGAGGTAGACAGAGTCCGCGATGTGGTCGTCGTTGTTCCGCGGCGTCATGGGGGCGAGGTCGGGCTGGTGTTGGAGGGTCATGTCGGAGATGATGTGGAGTAATGTGGTAGGTGGTGCGATGGGTGGGCTGTGGGCTGCGGTCGCTGTCGCTACTGAGGCTGGGTGGTCTGGAGTGGGCGGTAGCTGAGGGTATGCATGGGTGGGCGTCGGAGAGTGGTCGAGTCGTGGGATCAGGTCGACGATGGTCTTGTGGGCTGGTTTGTCGCTAAAGTAGTCGGGTCGACCGCTCAGTCGGTTCTCGGTGATGGCTTGGCGGTACCGCTCGTTGTTGGCCAGTAGTTGCGCATCGGTGAGTGGTTCCTCAAAGCTTGTGTGCCATGCATACCACGAGCGGCAACAGCTGGAAATGGTCCGTAGGTGCTTGATGAGCCTGGCGTAGCTGTGGAACTCGGTCGCGCAGCATCGGCAAGCTGTCCCCGTAGCCCAGTGGAGG